GGTCAGGTGGGCGTCCAGAACCGGGCTATCTCGATTAACACTGGCGGACTTAACCGTCGGCAAGAGAGCCCCGATGGATGGGCACACCTCCGCGATTGTCGCGGCCGGCGGGCGCCGTGCTCGCGTCTGGTCGCCCGCCGGAGGCCGTCCACTTCCCGCGCCAGGCACATTCCCCCTGCGCGTCACCGACCCCACTGTCTCCCGATGCGCCAGGCCCGCGCCGTGCGATCTCCGCCCCCTGCCTGTCTGGCGACCCGCCGCGGCCGACCAACAGCACTGAGGCAGGGCGACCAGCACGCGGCATCGGCCGACGGGGGAGCGACACACGCCGCGGCCGACCAACAGCACCGAGGCAGGGCGACCACCACGCGGCATTGGCCGACGGGGGAGCGACACACGCCGCGACGGTCAGGCACCCCGAGAAGGCCCCCTGGTCTCCCCCGCTCGGCCCTCCGGCCGCCACAACGAACACCGGGCAGTGGCCGCGCAGGCCACGGCCTGCGACACGGCACCAAGAAAAATGCCCCCTGGCGGCGACCCACCCGCGGGCTGGCGGATCGCCCCCGGCTGCGACTCGGGCGCTCGGCACCCGGCCCACCTCCTGCCACGGGGGCGGCGGGCCAGGAGGCGGGCCATGCTCCGCCCGGGGAGGGAGCCAGCCCGAGTACCCGCCCGGCCACGCCCGAGCCTGCGGCCGAAGCACGCCCGCCGGCGCCGGCCCTCCGCTCCGAGGCCGATCGTCCTCGCACAGGGCAGGCGCTCCGCCGAGGGTCCGTCGGCACCGCTTCGGCCACACACCCCCGCAGGTCCCACCCCGCACGTGGCCTGGTCCGCGGGAGGGGCCACCCCTGGGCCGACTCGCGGCCGCCAGCCCCATCGCCCTCGGCCGACGCCCCCCGCCCGCGGCGGCACCTACCCACCACCGGCACCCGGCTGGCATGGGCCACAACCAAGAAAACCGCCTGCTTCGGCCCGGCCGGTCACACCGGCCCTCGTGGTCGGGCGCATCGGCCCGCCGTGGCCCATGCCCTGGCCATCGCCACCCGGCGGTGCCCCACGACAATGTGCCATGGGCCGTCGGCCCCGCCGGCATGGCGGAGGACGGCCGCGGCTGACCCATGCCCCGCCCAGGTCCCGGCCCTTGCGCAGGCTGGTCCCCTGGCAGGCGGCCCTCGGCGAGGTGGCCGGCTGCCCGGGCCGGCGCCCGGCGAACGCCACGCGCAGGGGCACGCCGCACAGGCAGACGGGCCCCGGCGGCCCACGACCCGGCACGCACAACCCCCCGCCGGGCAGCGATGACCATGGCATGGGCCACGGCCCGGATGCGAGGACCGGGGCAGTGGACCGGCAGAGCCGACAAGGAGGGGACATGGCCGGCGCCCCACGACGAGAGGCCGGGGCCTGTGCCCCTCGGCCGGGGAGTGCCGCCGCCCCGCCCGGCCCCCCTTCGGCGGTGTCGTCTCCCGAGGGCATGGCCCCAGCCCGGCCACGCAGTGCCGGCCCCTCCCCCGAACCGGCCAGACGCCAGATCACGCCGATCGGCCCGCCCAGGGGAGCAGGCCCGGCGTCGGGCTCCCTTCGACGGGCCGCACTTTGAGGGGCGTCCCCCGGAGCGGGCATGCCCAGCCAAGCACATCCCCCCCCAACCCTTTGGCCATGCGATGCATCGCCCCGGAGGGTCGCCCACGAAGGGCCACCAGCGCCACACCCTGCCGGCGGCATGCGCCACCGGGCGCGTCGCCCCCACGCCCCGGCGCATGCGCCAGGTGGCACCGCTCGTCGGGCGGTCGGCGGGGCGACGCTTCCCCAGGCGGCCCATCGGCGCGCCATGGCGCGGACGTGCCCATGGCCAGGTCGGCCAATCGCCCTGGAGCCAGGCCCCGCCTCGCCGGGCAGAGCCCCAGGGGCGTGCTGGCCGCCGGCCGGCGTCCAGGCAAGATCCGGCCACGGGCACGACTGCTCGGCGCCTGCCGCGTCGGACTGCGTCCAGAGGGCGGCTCGGCGCTCGCACCGGGCACATGGCGCGCCCTGGCGCCTGCCGCGTCACACTGGAGGGCGAGCCACGCCACCCACCTCCTCCTACGCCGCCGGCTGGCCGGTGTGTGGCGCCCGGGCGGGGGGGAGATCAGCAGTCGCGCGACGATACTGAGTGGGCCTCTCGGCCGGCCCGCTGCCGGCGCCCTCCCTCCCGGCGCCGGCAGGGCGCCCGGGGATGCTCGGTCGCGCCGAGCCCGCGCCCGTCTGCCGCGCCGTGGGCCAGCACCCCCCCCCCCCGGTGGGTGGCCGAATATACATGGGCCCCGGTGGCACCGGGTCAGGCGACCACGAGTGCCGACTTGCCGGTGGCCGGCCCAGCGGACCTGCCTGGCCTTGCCGGCGGCCGGCCGGCCGCGAGACACGCTGGCGAGGGCCCCAGGCAAAGAAGGCGCTGCCAGACTGCGGACCGCCCGGCGCCGGGTCTCCGGCGCACATGGCGCCCACCCGGCCCGCCGGCCGCAAGCCCACGGGGCGCCCTGCGGCGGTCCCGCGCCCCCATCAGCCGGGGGCCTCCAGAGGGAGGGGGCCCCCCTCGGTGAGGAACGCACCCTGGCGCACGGCCTGCTTGATCGGCCCCCCCGGGCTCGGGCACCCGCCTACAGTATGGCCAAACCCGCTGACCGCCGCGTCCGACAAGGCGCGCCTTCCGTCGCCGGACGCCCGGGGCAGCGCGCTGCTGCAAGCACCCTCCTGCTGGTGAGGCGCCACATTCGGCAGGCCTGGCCGCACCAAAGCCCCCCCCCCC